CGCCTGCCGGTCGCGGTGGCCTTTTCTGCCCTGCTAGCCAGCAGACACCGCTCCCGCCCTGACGGTTTGGGCAGTTTCATCTTACCCTGCTGGAATGCTGTTCTTGCCACCTGCCCAAACACCTCTTCAGCATGTCTCGGTGTGTCTGTAGCGAGCGGCACGTGGGAATAGAAAGATAAATTGTTGTCGTCTGGAGATAAGCAAGTCCTCGGAGAAACGAGGGGCTTAAAAATGATTAAAAGTGAAGGGAAATAGTTTTCCAGGCATCTGAAGAAGACGCAAAGGCAGCTGTCTCCTGTTTTTCCGCTCATGCTTTGACTGAGGTCATAGAAGTTTTTCTTCAGGAATTTAGGACTTGCAGCACTTTCCATTTCTCACACTTATCAGCTATTTTGTCTCCGTTCGCTGACTGCTTAATGTCTCTTTTCCCACTTTTCTGGCAGGTTACCTTATGGCTAAAGAAAATACTCGGGGATCAGCCCATTCCACAGTATGAAGTGAATGCACGGACCATTGATATCTTGTACGAGCTTGCAGAACACAGTGAAGCCAGGGATAGGGATGTTTCTTTGCTGATAGATGACAGGAAGCAGAAAGCAGCAGAATACGAAGCAGAAGGTGAGTTTGAAGCTCCAGTCCTCAGTTCTGTCAAAGTTAGAGTATTTCTTAGTGACACTGTAGATTATCTCTGTTAAAATCTTATGAGAACTTATGAAAGACTATCAATAAGCTGACCATTTCTTCTGGTTCAGCTTTTACTACCGTACACTTCACGCTTTCCTTTCAGCAACATTTACAGTGACATAAGGTTGATCAAGAAAACGTTTTTTAAACCAGCTTGAGCAGGCTGTAAGTATGGGCAAGCAGATTAATTGCTGAAACCTCCTGCTTGCTGGGCTGGATAGCCCAGCACTGAAATACTGGCTGCATAGGCAGGTGAGCAACTGCTGATTTAAGAGTCTGAGTTGGTGCTTATTTCCCATTAAGGAAAGCACTTGAGGAATCTGAAACAACAATGAGGCCATTAAGTTATGCTGTAGCTATCTGAAATTAGTATTTGATAATATATTTTTCTGGAGCAAGTGCATGGTTCAGGGGACCATAATACATTTTTAGCATATCACATACTGAAGGATTGTACCTTTAAAGGCTTTTTTTCAAGAAGGAGTTTTACTTTTCTGTGAAAAGACTGATTTTGTATACATGAAGACCCCTAAAAACCCTACTTTTTTTTTTCCCTTCAACTCTTCTAGTGACTTGCCGTCAAATAAATCATGATGGAGACTAGGTGGTTGCATTAGGCTGTCAGAGCACGTGAGCGTTGCCTGTCAGGCGTGGGTGTGAGCTCTGCTGCAAACTCAGACTCCTTCAGAAGGAAGGGTCATCCCTCCTAACGCAGGTCTGTCCTGACAGGCATGTGCATGCCAGGAGCAGGTTTAGGCTGTATTGCCCAGTCCTCTGCAGAGGGAAGACCTGAGCATGCTCATCACCATAGCACAAGGGTAAACTCTTGTTTATATGGGTTTAGACACGCCAGTCAGGGAAGGAGCGGAGTAGCTCCTTTCCTCAACACAGTAGATTTGCTTGACAAGCAGAAATGTGACAGCAGTTTGTCATGTTTAAGTCTTCTTTTAAGATCGCTCTTCCCCTACCAGTGAAAACGTAACCAAAATTTCTGGAGTGGGATTGAATTCTCGCTTCAGAATTCTAGCTGCCCTCTAGGCCTCGCAAGAAAGGTGATATTAAAATGACTAATTTGGCTTGTATTTGTTTTTCAGCCAACTATCTGCAGGACCTTCTTACAGAAAGCCTGGATTTTTCCTTAACTAGTCTGTCCAGTGAGGGCACCAGCTACCTAAATGAGCTGGTAAACAGCGCGATGACACTTGAAACAAAGGACACTTCTCTTGTCAGGTAGTTCCTCCCACTCCGCACCAGGGCTGATGATCTGTGTTGTTTCCCTCTGGCTTTTCAATTCGACAGTTTCAAACTGTACTTTCACACAAGGAATTTTACTTGTCCAGCTTTTTTTGCACCACTTGGGCAGCTTTAAAGGATGTGGGGACTGTGCACAAAGCTGCAACTCTCGATTCTTGTAGCAGGGGAAGTCTCCGAGGTCTGAAAGGTTAAGCCCCAGCCCACAGTTAAATCTCTCCTTTTTGCTGCTGCTTTTGTGGTTAGTGGCTGTAGGATGCAACTGCCAGGACTTCCATGGCAGGTATCACAAGCTGGAGCAGCTTTCACTCAGCTCAGGCAAGGCCTGAGGAGCTGTAACTGGTTGCTCAGTCTCAGCTCCTCTCCTTTCCCTCTCTTACCTTGTCTCACTTGATGTCAGGAGATTTCCTTAGCTCAGCCAAAGAGAAAGAGTAGCTGTTAGTCTGCTCTTTCTAGGCCCCTCTTCTTTGCCTAGCCTCACCCATAATACAGTGTGCTGAGCGCTGGCGGTAAGGAAAAGTCAAAATCTGCCTTGGAATCCATTGGTTTTTTAATGGTCTTCAGGAGCTTTGCTCCTCTAGCTCTCCTCCTGAGCCGGAGGGGCAGGTGGAAGAGGCCATTTGGGAGGAGGTGACCGAAGTACTGGTGGGCATGTCTCAAGGACATGTGTTTTCAGTGACTGGATGGAGTTTCTCTCACAGGTGGTTTGGCAAGCCAGGAGCGGAGCTCTTGAATATTTCAAGTTTGGAGGTTATATTTACTGGAATGCCAGGTCTTGCCTGGCTCTTCTGCTACTCAGATTGCTGGACCATTTCCTCTTCCAGATGAAATCTTTGTTAGTTAAAGGAAGCACGTATCCTCAGTGACTTCTTTTACTTTCCTCTCTTAAACTAACTGGCATTTGTCAGATGTGTCATCATAGGAGAACAAAAACACAAGTCATTTGTGGAAAGTGTGAAAAAAATAACCCCAAGTTTCAGAAGAGCTGACTCCTGAATGTTCCTACTGAATCTCTCGTTTCACTAGCTTCATCTCTGCCATCAATGATCTGACTTCGGATCTGCATGCGACAGAATCAAAAAACAGAGAAATGGAACTGGAATTGACCAGCATTAGAAAAAAACTAACTGCAGCGCTGGTGCTGGAAAAGCGGTTACAAGAGTGAGTAATGGGTGAAAAAAGGGAAAGATGTAAGCAGTACTGCTGATCTCTGCAGTGTAGTATATCGGCTGTGATCACTAGGCAAGGATCACTGAATTTTCAGATTTATGATGCGTATCTAATTCACAGTATTTGGCATCATCTATCAAAAGTCATGTGCTATAGGCACTTCCCAGTAATCAAAAGACATTTGGAGTACCATCAAAAACATTGTTTTAACCCCAAAATGGACTAAAAGCAGTTGTCAGATACGGGCTGGTGTCTTCCACCAGTTGCTTTCAGCTGAAGTTGCAGGTGAACCTGTTTTGCTTAGCACAGTTTGCGTGAGTGTTGTTGTCAAAATGGAGTAGGCAGGCAAAACAAAAAAGATTTCTAGATAAGAATCTCCTTTAACCAGTTTATGGTAGACCTTAAAAAAAAAAAAAAAAAACTTGATTCCCTAAAGAATGTAATCTGTTTGAAATGTTTGGTGAAGCGTAGCATCAGTCCCTGCTTTGAGCAGGCATTGGTCCAGATGATATCCACAGATCCCTTCCAGTCTAATTATTTTCTGATTTTGTTATTTAAAGCCGTAACGCTAGGGCTGCTTGTAGCAAAGATACCGTAGCTGTGTGCTTCTCCCTGGTTTGCTATGGCCCTTTTCTGATTTTCAGTTTAGCTAGCTTAGCAGGTCTCTAACTGAATTAGTAAAGTACACAGTGGACTGTTGTTCTGTGCTGTTAGGCAAATGGCATTCCCCTTGGACAGTTATATCCCATGGCCTTTGCTAGGCTGGAGATGACTGCTGTGGATGGTTCCGCTGGAGAATCTTGCACGGATATATAAGTGCTTTCTCCGTTTTCTCCCTTCTGGTGTTGGTTATATTGCAGAGTTTAGCTTGACCGTAGATGATTAAGAAGTATGTATATACTGGTATCTCTTTGAATGTAAAGATTTGCTTGTTTTTATATTTTTAAGGGACCTCAAGAAAACAGAGGAACATTTGGAGGTAGAAAAAGCAAAAGCTGAGAGTCGATCCCAGAACTTGAAGTTCCTGAAAGACAAATCTGAGGATTTCAAAATCAGGATCAAGGCTGCTGAGGTAGATGGAAGGAATTTTTTAATGAGACCTTGGGAAGTAGTGGCACAGCTATGGCTGGGTCCAGAATTGTACTTAGAGACATCCCTGGAGCTTCCCAGACTCTGGAACATTGGACTCTGGTACTCCTAGGACTCTAGTTACCATGCTTCAATTGTTCCTACTACGCTTACGCTTTTCCCCCATGACATCCTATGGGAAACGCAAGGACACTTTTCCTTCTTTCATGGAGAACTGTATTAGCTCAGATTACCTTGTGTTTACTCCGAGGTACTCTAATATAATAGTATACAGCCAGTGAGCAGCAGAGCAGCTTGCTCACTGTGGTAGCTTGTGTGTCAAAATTCTGAATATAGCCATTTTTTGAGATTAATGAGTGGTTAAACACTGAAGGCACAAGTTGTACTGTCTTTTCATTCACCTTTCTTGCATCATGAAGGGTATGGGAATGTTTTATGTAATTCTTGGATGCTGTCCAATATTTTGCCAACTCTGAGGTGGAAAACATTATATTAGACTAACAGCGTTTTATTGGAAAAGCTCTTCCCAGCCTTTGCTGGGAATGTTCTTCTCCCACTAGTTTTCTGGAAAGATTTGTTATCGCTAGTATAAATTTTAGTTGTAGCTGATTTCATATACCAGCAAGATCTATGGTTCAGATAGCACGCATTTCTGTTATTGTTAGCAAACCCAAGTTAATGGTAACATCTTTCTCCTCTCTGTTATTTTTTGCTGCCAGTTGTGTCTGTGTGGTAGGAGAGTACATACTGTACAAACTGTCTTTTCGTTTGTAGGAGCAGCTTTCTGCCACAGGGTTGGACCAATCTTTGACGCATCAGTCATTAGTGAGCCTGTCTGAGGTAGGTCTTTTGGTACAAGATGGATGTTTCTGCAGTGGTACGGAGCAGCCTTGTTTGTTGGATGGTTTCAGGAAATGTATTTTGTCATTCGATTACCTGAAAAGAGGCCCAAACAAAAATCCCATAGGCAGATACCTCTGAAGTGGGGAATATCAGGTGGGTCTGCCTCTCCTAGAGGCCAAGAAGCATTGTTGGGTGCTGAAGCTGTGCCTCTTCTTCAGGGTTAAATGAGCACTTGTTTTGGATTTGGGAAGAAGCTTTCCCTCTGGACTGATTGAGCGGAATCCTTTTTTTGTTATATTTTGGTTTTCCCTCTTTTCCTCTTTCTGCCTTTGTCCCTGATTGGGAACGTAGTCTACTAGAGAATTTCCATGTAATAAATGCATAGCTGCTGAAGGAATATCCGCGGAGAATTGGCAGTCCCTGGTCAGTCTGCTGTCTCTGTGATCTCTGTTGTAAATGAAGTGGACATCCTGTGGAATATATCCTGTTACATGGTTGCCTGTGTTTTGGGAGTTACTGGATAAAATGACCCAGGTGATTCCCTCTAGGGTGTATGGAATAGACTTGCTCTCAAATGCTTCTGAGCAGGGGAGAGAGGCAGCGTGAAGTCCAAGTTTTGACTTTTATGGTGTGCCTTTTTCTTGCACCTTTAAATAGAACATTTTTGAATGTATTGTGAGCCCAGTAGGGTAGTAAGTTAAAGGAAATAGCGTGTTTGATGTATTATTAACTTATTTATTGGCTTTTCCTGCGTATTAGTTGCTCTCTACGCTGAAAATAGCTTTCTTGATTTTACTTTGCGGTTCTCATGAACAAGCACTGGGTGGCAACATTTACATTGCACTGTGATTCAGAAGAGTGCTAACCAAAAATCATTTGCTTTGGAATGTTACATATTAAAAATTACAGGCAATTTTCTGTAGGTCTTAAGTTTTGTCCGACCTTTGTCTTCTAGAACCTGAATATAAGGGCAGGTTTGATTCACTAGCGTTCCTATAGCTACTTTGCTGAGAGCTCAGTTAGTTGGGCGGCGTGGATGACTTCATAGTGGATTTTTTGCTTTAAGTTGATTGTTTGTAAAGGGGTGAGAGCTGTAGTTCTCAGCTCTAGGGAGAAGTTATCTCCCTGTGCTCATCAAATGAGCAAATCGAAGGAGCAGTGCAAGTGGCAGGGGAATCTTCCTTTGCTGCTGCATATGCAAAGCTCTGTTTTTGCAGAGAAGCTAAAGGCACGAGAGCGTAGCTTCTTACTTCCTCCGTTCTCTCTGTCCTGGCCTACAGTAAGGTTGCCGACAGAAGACCTCTGTCTGGTGGATTCTGAGTTCAAAAAACTCCTCTCCTTTCAGGGAGGTAAGAGTGGGTGATTATACTGTATTAGAAGCAGCTGTGTATTTTCAGCCAGGAAGGACAATTAATGTATATGTCAGTGTTAAATCTGAGCTGGCTTTGACTGACTGATGACTATGATAACTGAAAGAATGGTAGATCTTTATTTTTCCATAGCTTTTGGGAAAGATCATCAGAGCTCTAACCAACATGTGTGAATTCTGAAACGCTGTAGATAATTGTAGATCTATTTCACTGATTTACATCACTTACACAAGTAAAACTGTAGAATAAACTCTGCTGCTTTGTTCTGTTCACAGAAACTGGCTGAATTAGAGCAAGAAATTGTGCCTTTGAAGAAGAAACTGGAGTCCTACCTGGATTTAACTCCTGTAATTATTTCTTTCACAGTTCTATTGTATTACCATCAGATTAGTTTTAATGGAGTTCAAAATGTAAAGACTATCGTTGCGGTGGTTTCAGTGGACAAATATTTGCTGTTCTAAATCTCTATCGGTCTGTATAAACAGAAGATTGTACTTAAACAAAAGGCTACTTATTTGTTGAAGAAAACCAAGAAATTAAGTGTTTACCAAGCAAACTGCTTTCTTCTAACAAAATGCGTAGGAACGTGACAGGAACAGAGTGGTGGGTGAGCTCTGTATCGAGGTGAATTAAACAGAAATTAGACAGAGAAGTTTGGAGGAGCAAATCCTTAATATAAAAATATCTGTAAGTTTTACCAGTAATTTTAAGTACACAGATCAGGCTGTCGGTATGGTGGATGCAGCACACCGTGCAGGGGTTGAAGCTCTGAGCAAGATTTAAAAGATTATGGAGAAGTACCCAAATGTAGGCTCTGTTTTTCTAAGCAAGTACTCTGGCTTTTGAGTATTGTCTGCTCCATCATTTCCTTTGGTTTCTGTAGAGGGTGCTGGATGCTCAGCTCTTCAAAAAAAGCAGGTCTCTTTTAGGCAACTAAACTGCTGTCTTGAGAGCCAATGTCTCTGTATCTGTTCTTCATTTTAAATTTTGGCTTTTGTCATTATTGGTCACTCTATCGGGAGTTTCTGTCAGACTGGTGCACGAAGCACCTTTTATTTAAAGGACTTCAGTCATTTCAAATTAGGAGAACCCTCGTTACCAAAGACTTTCGGTTAAGGGGACTTCTGTGAACAACTTTACGAAGACTTAAAGAAATCATGAGTAAACAGGGGTTTTTTAGTCCATAAAACAAAAGGCCTTGGCTTTGCACAAAGTCTGCACGTTGGCCGCTTGTGATGCTTGGGACCACTGAACACCAGTTTTTCTCATTTCCTTTGAAAATTGCCCTTACTTTTACAGATGAGTATTAAGGACTTCTCTCTTTGGCATTCAGGGGAGATGTGGCAACAACTGGGGAGAAATGTGGAATGGGTTTTGGTTTTATTAAATAAACCTGTAAACTAGACAGTCACAGTTGAGTCTGACTTACCCGATGTGGCCCCTGTTACCAATGTATCTGAGCACCCCACAACCTGTCATACAGCTAACCTCATAATCCTTCTGTGTGAGAGGAGAAAAAAATTCATTCCAGTTTTATGAATGGGGCATAGAGGTCCAGAGAAACAGAGAAACTTGTTCAAGATTACATGGAAAGTCTATAATGAATTAAGTTTCCTGCCTGCTGGACCACCCTTCTCTCTTCACCCTCTCAGTCCCTGCGTTGAGTCCCTGCCACTAGACATATCTTGCTGCAACCTAACTTCTCCCTCATGTAGCTGCTGCTTTCTTCCTCCTACAAGAAAAGGATGCAGGGAGAGGGTGGAACTGCTTGTCTTTTTAATCCATCTTACTCCAAGAGGCAGCTGCCACCGCTTTCCTCAAGCAAAACAGGCCGTTCAAATTGGATTAGGTTCTTCAATTCCGTGCTCCCCCTCCACCCCGTCATCAGTGGAGACGGGGAGGGCCCTGGTGCCTCCCTTCTGGTGCAGGCAGAACGACGGAGAAAGGTTTATCCTTGCACGCAGCTAGAAGCGTTTTGTGCTTTGGAAGATTCGTGCCTGGATACATTTAATATCCAGTTCCTTGGTTGGCAGTTTTTGGAAATTCATGTTTTCTTAGACATTAGGTCTTACTAAACTTTAGAAACATACCCGACTGCCCAAACCAAAATGATGTTAAGTCTCTGGATGTCAGTACATTTTGCATGTAAAGAGTATATGCAAAACTAATATAATTATTCCTGAATTCCTCTACGGCATGTCATTAAAGTCTTGCAGTAATAGAGGGACTTTGTGTTTCAAGCTGAAATACTGCTTTTTATACCCTTTTCTCTCTTTAGAATCCTTCCCTTGCACAAGTGAAGATCGAAGAAGCAAAACGAGAACTGGTAAGAGTTTTTAATTTTTCATAGAGACTTAAATGGGTGCTGTCATTCCAAAAAAACCTATGTGCATTAATTGGCTGTGGATTTATCTGCTGCAGATCGTAGTCTTAATGATCTCCAGAGGGAAATTTTACTTTGGTAAGGTAGAAGCAGTGCGTATTGGAAGGAGGAAGTGTTGGAGGGGTGAAGTCTAAAGCTACAAAGACAGTTGGACATAATGATACAGTGGGGATTAGGCAGCTATATCCTTTTCGATTTTGTCTGCTTCACCTGCCAGAGTGTTTTTTCACTCGTGTTGCAGCTTCTTGGTCCCATGACCTGCATTTCTGCTTCTGAATTCCCAAAGGGCAGTAAGGCCTATATTTTATTTAATGACTGCCTTGTGGCCTGCCTTGTGACCTTCCCCTATGAAACATCATGCCCGATTCATCCGTGCTTGTATAACCTGCAAGCATGATTGCTGGGAAACGTTTCATCTCAAGTTGTTGCGGAAGTTTCTGTGTAACTTCTCAGGGTGAGCTGGGCCCAATTTGAGCACAAAACCTGTCTTTATATGTTTGGGCTACATCCTGCTTGCTTGTGGACACCATGCATGATATTTGGTGATAAGCCTTACAACTGTAATCAGAATTATGGTTACGTGAGAGTATTTCGTACATTTTTGGGTGGGCTTGCTTGGGTTGGCAAGACACCTGTTTTTGTTTTAGAAATATAGATTCGCCTTACCAGCGTGAGGCCTTTATCAGGTCAGAACGCTCACCTCTGGAGTGAGTACCTGCTCAGCTTGAAAGTCTCACTGGGGCACAGTATAAGGCCATTCAGCTTGTTTAGCCCTTCATTTGGTGATTTCTTTGTAGTTCTTAGAAAGGAATTTTCCCTTTGTGTTGTAAGCTCAGTAATAAACAGTCTCTGATTTACCAGCATTCCTTAGCTGTGTCTTGTTGTAAGAAATTGAGAGATTGGAGCCCGGTGTTGCATTTCTGCTCAGCCTGGTGGTAGTTCCTAAAATTATCACACGGCAAGGACTGCAGGGCAGGGCTTCATGAACTGTTAGTGTTTGAAATGCTCTGCTTCATCTGGCAGTGCAACTGGATTGAAACTCTTTACTGCTACTGCAAAAGGTATGATGACCATTGAGGCTAACAAGCCTGTTTGGCTTATTGTGTTCATATACATTTGATGCATAAAATGCCTCAGTTAACTATTTAGTTTAGATTTGGAAATTGTACTGAGAGCAGTGCAGTATGGAAAAGTACCAGATAGCGTCGGGTCGTTTCGTCCCTGGTCTTTGGCACGTTGCTAACTTCAAAATCGCTTAGATTGTCAGATTCCCATTTGCAGTAGTGAGAACTTCTAGTTCAATACTAGGTTTAATCAGTCCTAATAATATTCCCGATGTCTGATCATTGTAAAAGTATTTGTCTAACAAAGATATTAGAAAACTGCTTTGCAGTCACTGAGTCCTCTTGGTCTTCTCTCTCTTGCTAGAATGCCTTGGAGGCGGAGTTCTCATCGCAGCTTGACATGCTGACTCTTTCGATGCCAGAGCCCAGCAAACTCCGATTCACCTGAAGTGGCCTGCGTGGAAGAGGATGTCCTTTCTAATTGTCTATTTATTTGCACTAGTAAAACCTGTTGGACTTCTAAATGTACTTAGGCAGGTTTCTGCCTTTCTCTCCTCACTGTTGGATAGCACACTTGTGGTCTTTCGGCAATCATGCTCGGTTTTTAGGGTTCGTGTAGCGTTGTATTTGTAAAAATCACCCATTTTCCCATGAAATAAACCCCAAACACTCTTGTTTCCTTAAACAGTTTTTTTCCATACGTGATACAGATCTGTAGGTGGCCTCCAGATGGCAGCCTTACCAGGTAATGTCCCTGTCAGGTTTTGGTTGACCTTTTTACCTCCAACAGTCTAACTGATCCAGAGGTTTGGCTTCCCTCTTCCTCCCTGTCCAGGCTCTGCAATGTGTTTTTTTTTCCCCAGAGTTCCCTCTGTGGTGGTGCAAATATGTTAGGTCAGACTCTACACCTACTAGAGCATTGGGTTTTTGCTTATTTGTTTTATTCTGCCTTGCCAGCTCAGAATTGGGGACACATCAAGTTTTTCCACACATAGCATGTGTAATGTATACCACGTCTGTGAAGAGAAATTCTCCTTATGCCTAGAGCACATGTAAGTCTGGGCATTTGGGGCACTGAGAAATGTAACTGCTCCCTTCCATTTAATGTCTTCAGCAGGGATGTGATACATTAATCAAAATGACTGATACGGAAAATGTGATCTAGGGCTCAGAACAGTAGTTCCCAATGCCTAAGTCCTGCAGTCTCTGAGACAGCCAGCAAAGGGGATTTTCTTTTTCTGTATGATGATGGTCTGCTTTCTTGGAAACAAATGCTCTGACTTATTTCAAATTGGTCATAGTTCCGGCTTCACACGGTAACAAGTTTTATTGCCTGTGTAGGTAGGTAAAAGCTGAGATGAAATGTGCCGGCAGCGACCCCCTAAATTTCCATAGTGTCTCTGCAGTCTGAGAAAATGGAAACCCATTGTACTAGCCTGGAAGGTTTGCCTTTGTTCAAGACTTGGAGAGGTATCGGTCTACTGTTGACAACTTTTTTTTTTTGAACGTTATAAATAGCACTAAGCAAGGAGAGGTAGGAAGGTAGCTTTATGGATACTGAAGTAATAGCTTCAAAAACAACAAATGGTCTTTACAGTAAGACCTTTCTAGATCTGAAAATACATGGGTATTTTTGCAGATCCACTGTGGGTTGTGATCATGTTGAACGTCAGTTGTCCCTTCCAGCTCTGTCAACTCAAATGGGTCCCCAGAAGCCACCTGTTCCCTCCGTGTCTCTACCACACTAGCCATAAACACCCCCAGCATTTAAAAGCTGTTTTGCACTGAAAGACAAGAGTCCTGCCTCTTCTTCCATATTCCAGAGGAAGCTGCTGTTTAGTTTCAGGTTTTTCTAATTGAAAGGTTAGGAAAGGATTATTCGCCTTGGTTTTATGACCATTCGTCCTTAACTCTTTCTAGCCTAGAAGCTGAGGTAGCAAGAGCAGTGTCTTTTGTACAGACGGACTAAACGGGCTAAGGGGAAACTACCTCCAAGAGGTAACAGATGTGGTACGCAGAGCAGTCGTAGTAGTGTGGTACGCAGTACAGGTACAGCCATAGCTTGTCAAAGACCAGACTGAAAAAAGGCAAGCTAGTGGTCTTTGAATCTGAAAAGCAAAAGAAAATAAACTGATCTCCTTTTCCATTGGGGAAAGGAAAAGAAGTCATAGACTTCAAAGTCATCCTATGGTATTTAGGTAGACACTGGGGAGCAATTTAACAGGAAAGCCAATGTAAGGCACTGGAGTTCATGGCCAATGATGGCTAAAGGATCTTAATCACTGGAGGTTTCTAAGAACGATCAGAAATGCTTTGCTTAAACATTTATAATGGTAGGGGAAGTCAACCATGCTTTGGCCTAGGAAGATAGATTTGATGACTGCTTGAGGGCACTACTGGCCCTGGTTTTCAACGAGAGCCTTGAGATTTATTCAGCTTAGCATTAGACAAAGGCCTTTTATTGCCCGTGTGTGTTATCATGACTCCAGGCATGGGCAGATTTCCTGAGGCTGTGGCACCTCCCTTAGCACCCCCTAATCACACAGTACAGCTCCAATTGGGAGACTTCAGGGTTTTTTCTCCCACTGTGCCCCTGGGGCAGCTTGCGCTGCTCCCCCTCACTTCCCGGCAGCAGAACTGATCACAACATGCAGGTTGGTTCACAGTATGTGCCAGGGGACCACGTGCTGGCAAATAGCCTGACTACGGACATCAGCAGGGCTGGACTCGGACTGAAGAGCTGTCCAAATATAGCTGCGTGTTGCTTTCTCGCATGGGAAACGTCAGGAGAAAAAATACCCAGCAGCTGCATCTTAGCCGCAGGCCACAGCTGAGCTGCCTGCAGCATATGCAGCATAAATCAGCTGCCAGGTGTCAGGTTATACAGCACTGCTTTTGATAGATACAGGGAAAGTTCAATACACTGGATTTATGCAGCTAGTGGATTTCAAGTAAGATTTCTCAGCCCTTGAATTATGCATCTGCACGGGCAGAGTGCCTTGCAGAACGGTCAGGGGCGCCTCATGGCAGCATGGTCACTTCCGAGCAGTCCAGCTTTCTCGGCGCAGGGATCGGACGCCAGCGCGGGAACCCCTTGCAGAAACATCAACTCGTGAGTCTGAGCAGAAAACGTTTGATCTGGGGCTTCACCCTTTGCCCTGGCAGCTGCTCTGCATTTCCACAGGGGTCACAGCAGGCCGTGAGGAGCTGCTGCACGTGGATGGGGCTGCCAGCCGGACTGCTCGCCCGTCGTATTTTTGGAAATAACCACCCAACTGAGAGCGACACGACTGCTTGGAGAGCATTTCCTTTCCTCCTTCGGCCCACGTTCGGACTAAATCAGCTCATCTCTCTGAACTCTGGGTCTGGTTTTTAGAGACGCCATGTGTTAACAGCTCCAAGCTGAGAGCCCCTGCGCCCGTGCTCTTCACGCTACGAGGGGCTCCCACAACTTCTGGGAGCAGCTCTTCTCTCTGCGGGAGTTTGAACAGCCGTAACGCGTCACCGCGGGACTGCAGCCGAGGTCAGACGGAGCTGTGGACTGCTCCACTTTGCTTGCACAGCACAAAAGGTATGCCTGCTTTATCGTAGTGCATCCAACTCCTCCGCCTAGAAAATACTAGGATCCACGTTTCCCCCCCCCCCCCCCCAAAACAAAAAAACAAACAAACCAGAATCTGAGAGTACTAGTGAGAAGCCCCCCCCCCCAAAAAAAAAGTAAATAATTAAAATTACACACTTAGACACGTAAACCTATTGGTCAACCTCAAGTGAAACTTTGCATAAATGTATGTTTTACCACAAAGTGATATACTTTTCTTATCAACCTAACATTTAACTTAATAATTGCTTTAGGAAAAAGAATAGAATTTACCCTGAAATAAACTAAGTGATATGGATTTATTTAAAAGAAAACGTTTGGGTACTAAAGCAAGAATAACAAGAATTAAAATGACAGAGAAACATAAACTATATGGGGCAAAACTCAGACTATTGACTTGAAATATGTACTTATTTGACTACTCAAAATTCATTGAATGAGACAATGTGGGCGGAAAGTGTTTGGGCTGTATGTTTTGGCTATATTTTAGCTAGTCCATGTTGCAGAAAATTTCTATTTGCTGCAAAAATTCCATTGCAATTTTTTTTCAAGCTTCCTTTGACCAAAAGGGTCAACAATTTTTTCATTCACATACATTCTTAGTCAAATGGATGTAGAATAATAATATGGAATCTTTGCCATTAAGTACATTTAAAACATATTAAAGTCATTTCCTATTAAAAAAAGAAGATTATTCCATTTGGTAATGTCTCCGGTAAAACATTCCAAATAGTCTTCCATTTGGGGAACTTTTAAACAAACACAAATTTGATATTGCAACATTTCTGTAGAAGTATTTAAGATTTTTGTAATTATGTCTAGTACTGAACAGAAATGTGACTGTGGTCCTTACAGGTCTGGGAAAGATTTTGTATTTCTGAACTATTCATTGAGTTTTTAAGTTATTGGGGCACTACTGAATTAAAACCAGTAATTCTGGCCTGCTCGGCTTTGTACGTTGCAGGAAATCCTTCACCTTCATGTCTGAGCGCACAGTTGCCATTAATAACTTCAAGTGGCTTTAGAAACATTTCATGTTTTCTTATACACTGGCTTCATCACAACTGTTCTGCACCAGATCTGACCGGGAGGATTTCTGCTTCTCTAATTCAGAGATATTTCTTCTGCAAAAATCACCAGCGAATAAGCTGAGGCTTTACCGATAAGTATCTGTTTAAAGTAAAACTTGCAGCTCCTGCTCATCTCTCCCAGCTGGGTACCACCTGTGTGGTCGGATACAACTCTGCCTCCATCTGCCTGTAAGCAATTCAGCATTACGCTGTCCTTCCTGAAACACAAAATCTCTGGTGAAAAAAAACAAAAAAATCTTAAAAAAAACAACAAACAAACCAAAAAGCCCTCCAAAACCACAACCTAATCTAATGAATGCGTCCCCTTAGCCCCTTGCTAAACGCTCCTTTAATGCTAATTAAGCAGCACAGCACAGCTGCTTAATTAGCCATCAGCGGCTGGAATAAACCAGCAGCAAGTAAAGGTTTAGCTGTCCGTCTTTCTCAGGAGTTGCGGCTAAGGGATGGGTGTGCGCCGGGGCTGGACGTGGTCCCGGTGAAGCTCTTGGCGTGGCCGGCTGTGCAACCGCTGCTGTACCGGTGTCTCTGTCCCCTCGCCTG